TCGGGGCTGACCCTTGTCAGTGGGCGTGGGTGTCTTGCCGCCTGCGGCCCCGGGCCCATCCGGCTGACAGGAGCGGCCGCACATCACCTCTGTCCCCTACCTGTTCTATCCGCTGGATGCTCCTGCACTCTGCCCTTCTGCAGCAGCCCAGAGATCTGGCACATGGTGGTCTACGGTCAAGCCGCTGTCACCACCATGGGGTGTGTGGCCTCCCCAGGAGCCGGGTCTCCTGTCATGGGATCATCCCGGGTGACCGAGGCATGGAGGTGGCCCCTGAGCCGCTTTCAAGTCAGGAGACTGTCTGGGACGCGGGGACACGGGCCGTCCGGAGGTGTGAGGCGGGCGCCGGGCGGGGGGAGGCTCAGAGGGCCTCCTGGGGGCCGCAGCAGCCGCCCGGGCACCCAGAGCCCAGAGCCCCGACGTGCGCGCGGTGTTCTGGCGATGGAAGGAGGCCTGGGGTCACGTCACGCTGGAGCCCACAGGCTGCGGTCTCCGAGACCTCAAAGACAGAGCCCGGCGGGTGGCGACTGGGGCCTGCGGTGATGCCTGTGAACCTGGAAGGTCGAGTCGGGGTTCCGAGAGGCCTGCCTGGGCCCCTTGTTGATGTCTGACTTAGTTGTCAGGTGGGGCCCACAGGACCCCCAAGGAGGGTTTAGGGGGAGGGAGGCGAGGCTGTTGGCCCCAGGGGAAGCTCCGCCGTGACCCCAGCGCCAGCGGGCCTGGCTGCTCACGGTCCGTGGCCCAGTCGGCGCCCCCGAGCCCCTCGGCCCCGGCGCTGTGTTCGGCCGGCCATGTTGTCTCTGGCTGGCTGCCCTGCGGCTCGGGGTGCCTCTCCGGGGCGACCTGGGGGGCTGTCTGTGCGCACACGCCCCCTCTTGTAGCTGGAGTCCTCCGGGACACAGGCGCGGGTGCCCGGGGCCGAGCTGCCCGGAGGTGGTGGCTGGAGGGGGTTGCCCGGCCCGGCCCCGGCCCCGCCCGTCTGGGGTCTCAGGCTCTGCAGGCCTTTTCTCTTCTTTGCATTAAAGCCCGGCAGACTTTCTACAGTGACATCTACACCACTTCGTGTTGGGGCATAGTTGAACCGAAGCAGCCTTGCCCGTGTGGCATGGCCCGTAGCTTGGGGCGCCCTTTGGCTCCGGGACCAACGTCATCTCATGGCACAAAAGGAAATCCGTATCTGCGTGCACCGGGAGTCCGTTGAGCAGTGAGGTGAATTGGTTGCCACCGCCGTCCACGTTGGCTGTTTCTGGTCCGTCCAAAGCCAGCAAGCAGCAGGCCGGGCACTGCCCAGCGTCTGGCACACTCAGCGCGGGGACGTGCTGTGTCCCCACCTGTTGGCCCCCGTCTGGAAGCTGCAGCCCCCAAGGGCGAGTGACCTCGCTTCCCGGGCGGCTCCTGAGAACAGGGGCGCAGCTTCCGCCCCACCGTGGTGTGGAGAACGCAGCCCCTCCCTGGGGGGTCACGTCCCCCTGCTCGGTCCTGGGCTTCGCTGAGCGAGATGGGCCCAGGTGTCCGGCCCAGGGGCGCCCCGCCCGCAGCCAGCTGCCCGCGCCCCTCGTAAGCCCAAACGTGTTCCCCTCGCCCCCTCCACGTGGTGGTTTCCCCTGGAAGACAGGCGCCTCGCGGGCGTGTGCTTTCCTGCAGTGACAACGCTCTGTCCCCTGGGCTGGGCTGTGTCTGCCTCTGTCCCCTCAGCGGTGGGGGGGAGGCGGGAGGGGAGGGAGAGCAGACTGCCGTGGGGTCCCCTGGCAAAGGCGAGCCCCCAGAGCAGCAGTCTGCTGTCTTGGAGGTCGGGGTGGCGGGTGGCGGCTTAGGTCAGGCGACACGTCCTGCGGAAAGCACAGGCCTGAGGCCCCCCGCTCCTCAGCCCCGGAGCCACTGGCCAGGCCCGGCCGCCCGCCTCGGCCCCTCCGGGGGTCCCGTGTGCACCTCGCGGCCTCACCATTTTGCTTGTGTGTCCTGGCTCAGAGGTTCTTAGCTTTTCCGCTCACACACGGCCTGTGCAGCGACTTCCAGAGTCAGCCCGGGGCGACCGGTAGGGGTGCAGCCCGGGGCTGGGGTGCCCCATGGCCGGGGTATGCCTGTGTCTGACTCGCACCCAAATGGGTGCTCCCATCCCCCTATAGAAACTGGGTCCCTGCGCCTGGCGCTGCCGGCCCAGACGCAGGGGCCGCACTCGGCTTGTCGGGCCGGCACTCCATCGCTCGCAGCGGAGGACTGGTGGGCCCTCTGCTTCACTCACAGACATGTTTTCGAAAGCACACCCTGGAAGCACTGACGATTACCCCTCTTGTGTGGATTTCAGTAAAGACAGCGATGATGTCTGCAGGAAGCGGGAGGCAGTCACCTCCTGCAGGCGAGGGGCAGACCCCAGCCGCGCCCTTTGCCACAGGAGACCCTGGGGTGGACTTGGCACGAGCCTATCAAATGTGGCCGCTGCCTTCTTCCCCTTTGCCCTGACAGACCCTCTAGGGGTGCCCTCCTCACTGGTACCCCCATCTCTGACGGCTGAGGGCACAGCTTTTTAGGGAACCCGTGCCTCCCAGAATTGGAGAACCTCATAGCCTTGAGCCCAAGTGTGGGCGTGACCTTGACCTCCGCCCTCAGCACCTGCCCAGGCTGTGACTCCATGAATGGGGTGGTGGGGTGATTGAGCGTTGGGGTGATGGGGCAGTGGGGCGATGGGGCATTAGGGTATGGAGTGATGGGGTGATGAAGCAATAGAGTGATAGGCTGATGGAGCAATAATGGGGTGGTGGGGCATTGGGGTGAAGGAGTGATGGGGCAACGGGGTGATGGAGCAATGGGGTGATGGGGCTGTGGGATGAGGGGGAGCCCAGGACTTGGGCGGCCCAGGAGGAAGCCTCCATGAGAAAAACCTCAGGAAGGAAGCCGGCTTTGGGGGGAAGACCTTGAATGAAGAAAGGGAGGCGTGAGCCACTGCTGGACTGGGGGGGGGGCACCCCCAAGGGGGTGGAGGGGCAGGCAAGGACACACTCAAGGGCATCTGGTGAGCACTGCTGGCCCTCTGACCTCTAGGGGACAGCGCTGGGGAGGGACGGGGCGGTGGGCTGGGTGTCCCGCCAGGCTGCAGGCCTGGCTGCTGGTCAGGAGCTGTTGTGGGAGCAGCCGGCGCCGTGGGCACCTGGGCTGGCTGCAGGCCGGTGAAGGTGTAGTGTGTCTGGGGGGGCGGGGGGACGCCGGCCCCAGGGAGGGTCCTCACAAGGCCGGGCGGGTCCTGATGTGGGCAACGCCAGAAGGGTGGCGCCCTGCCGTTCTTTGCATCTGTCTGTGGCCACTCCTGGGGTCACGCCCGCCCTGTGAGCCACCCCAGGAGGCCCTGGGATCAGGGCAAGAAGACAGCCTCAGCACGCAGATGGCTCCCCACCCGCAGAGCGGCCTACAGGCCTGCCAGCCTGCAGGTGGGGAGGGGCCGCTGGGGGTGACCCTGGGGGTCAGGGCCCGGCGCCCCAAAGGGTCCTCTGAGCCCTGGATCTGAACGTCAGAGCAGCCCCACAGAAGAGGCTGCGGAGCCTGCAGCCCCAGGGAGCCCCTGCTCAGTGCTCAGCTGCCCCGGCCCAGTCGGCCCAGTCGGCCCAGTCCCAGTCCCAGAGAACTTCCCAGGGCACAAAGCACTGTGTGGAATTTGTCACCGTTGTGAAAGTTTCCTTCTGCCTTCCTGCTTCGCAGTAAGATTGTGCGGTGCCGACCTGTGTCTTCTGTTTGGGTGAATGCCCGCCGTCCTTGCTGAAACAGCTCGGATTCAAAGAAAACAAGACCAAAAGCAGCGCAGTTTGGAGCGAGACAGCCGCTCACCTGGCTGCACTGGCTGCAAAGAGCAGGTTCCTGGGCAGCAGAGAGCTCACAGCAGGGGCTCCTCCCCACGCCCCATGGCAGGTGCCAGTGTAGACCCATCATGCACCTGGCTTGGTTCCGGGAGCCCCACGCGCTCCCCAAGAGTTGGTCATCTGTGTCAATCCGAACCTGCCCCTCCTGGAGGTGGGAAATTGGGGACACCCCGCCCCCTGAATGCCAGCCCTTGAGTCCCACTTGGCCAAGGCTCCCGGCTTCTGGGGCTGGGGTGGGAGGCTCAGGCTTGAGGCTTTGTTCTCCAGCTTTAATATTTTAATGAGCCTGCAGGCTTGGCTGTGCCCTGAGGAAAGAGCCGGGATTCCTTGGTGTTCTTAGGGTTCGCCCTGCAAGGGTGTTCATTAGGAAGCTCTTGTTTCAGTTTCTCAGAGAAACTCCCCATTTAGAAAGATCTTTCAGCAGCCCAGCTAGCAAGACCGACAGGCAGGAGGAGGGAAGCTTTTAGCTGTAAGCATTAAGGGGATATTGTATCCGTCGTCTTGGTTCTAAAGATTTGCTTCTAAGAATTAATTGGAGCAAATACATCTCAAGGGAGGGGAAAAGATCTCGCCAGCCCGGGATGCTTCATCTCGCGGCTGAATCAATACGACGACTAATTATTTCTGGTTATCTTTTATGGGTTTGTAAGACATTTCTTTTGTTCGGTGTAATAAAAAACCCATTGTTTGATCAGTGACTGACTAATTATGATAAGTAATTTGAAACACTCTTGATGAGACTTGTCTGTTAATTAACATCAACAGCAGGGGGAGAGTGGCAGGACTGGCACGGGCCTTTTCTGGGGTGAGGCACCTCTCTGCGGGCTGCCAGACTCGGAAGTCACCAACAGGTGGGAAGGTCTGACACACCCTGCAGGAGAAGTCGCTGTGGAGTCGCACAAAGGCACCCTGACTCACGCCGCAGGTGGGAGGGTGGCAGCTGACCATCCTGGGAGGGAGAATGACTGCTTTCTTGTTCTTGCGTGTGACGCTGAGGCCCTGAGTGCCTGCAGCCCGGGCCTCAGACAGCGGCGGAGTGAGTGACAGCGGGCAGACGCGCTGCCCGGGACTGAATGACGCTGTCTGGATGTTGTAACGGTCACGGATACTGTTCATTTCATCAACTCAATGGCTTTTTTTTTATGCTTTTAGATTTCTACCTGGACAAGGAGTGGTACTATACCCACAGATAGGAGACAAATTGGATATTATTTGCCCCAAAGTGGACTCTAAAACTGTTGGCCAGTATGAATATTATAAAGTTTATATGGTTGATAAGGAGCAAGCAGACAGATGCACTATTAAGAAGGAAAACACCCCTCTCCTCAACTGTGCCAGACCAGACCAGGACGTAAAATTCACTATCAAGTTTCAAGAATTCAGCCCTAACCTCTGGGGTCTAGAATTTCAGAAGAACAGAGATTATTACATTATATGTAAGTATAATTCTCTTCACTTATTTTACAGAAATTAGGATAAGCTGAATAGGTTTGTATTGACTTCTGTTTCCTTAAAATTACTACTGTGGCAAATAATTTGGTGAGAATCTTTGCTGAACATTGTCCATTTTCCTTAAAGAAACCTTAATTGAATGAGGGGCCCTGTGCTAATCATTAATCTGTACCAACGAGACGCAACCTGCTAGAGTTTGTACAGTATTGAAATCAGTGGATATATAAAGATACTCAGCTTCTCTACTGAGAACAATTTGTAAGGACTATGGGTGAGCTTTTGGTAGGTGAATCTTTTGCGATGACTTGTTTCTGCATCATCCATCCATCCATCATCCATCCATCCGTCACCCACCCACCCACCTTGCCTCTACTCGGTGCCAGAGACATGTGAAGGTGCCAGAAACCAGCAGTGGCCGTGCGCTCCCTCCCCCCAGGACAGCATCGATCCAGACAAGATGGAGCTCGCAGGCCTGAGGGTGTGGGTTGCAGGCAAGCCACCGTCATCCCCAGGCCCCTGAGTGCCAGGTTTAGATAAACATGAGCTGGGTTTGCCTAATACGCCGCCCTCCTTCCTGCTAGTGTTACCTGGACACGTTGTTTCTGGAGTAGGTGGCCAGTTCCTGGGTCTGGCTGGATGCTCCTCCCTCAGGGGCTGAGAAGTGAAATGACGCCCTTGACCAAGTGCAGGCCACGTGACAGCCCAGGCCCCGGCGGCCCAGAGCTGGGTTTTAGCAGCGTGCCGGGTGGTGACTGACGAGCCTGTCATTCCGGCAAATGGAATATTCTCCTTTTAGCTTCCTTGGTTTAAATGGTGCTGGTGACTGGGTTGAGTGGCTGCTGTCTGTGCCCTAGGCCTGACCTGGCCGGGCCGGGCCCAGCTCTCCCTTGCCCGCGCCGCAGGACCGTCAGGAGGGAGCCCTGGTTCTCAGCCTGGGCTTGGAGTCAATAATTGACCGAATACTTAGTGCTCAGGAAGACAGGACTTTTACGACGTTAGTAATTAAAGCAAAGATGGTCAACGCCGTCTAATTATCTCGCCCTTCGCTGAAACCTGAAATGCCAGAGACTGAAAGGCTGCTTTTAAGCCAGAGTGGTTGGCCAGAGTGAGTAACACAGCAAGAGAAAGCGGTAAATTATAGATTTAAAAGAATAATTATCATCACACGAAAATAAAAGCTTTTTGAGGGGTAAAACCAGCAGATAGCGTGGGAGAGTGTGCTAGATAATAGAGAAATCTTTGAAAAGATGAAGTAGTTATTAGGTCAGCTACCGGGAAGCCTCAAGCTTCTGGAAGCCAAATCGTAAGTGAAAGTGACACTTTAAGTCGGAAGGCCCCGCCCGGGATCCCGATC